TTCAATTACTGCATGAAAGGTCAATCCGTACCGCATTTTTTCACCCCATACTTCCTTCCTATTCATAGTTTTATAACTATTCATCTATTTATTATTCATATTTATTTTATACATATTTATTTTATACCTATTTATTAATTGCTTTGTCGAGGTCAAAGGTGTACTGGATCCCCCCGACTGGTATTAAATTATCGACCCCCCAACAAGCCCAGTAATTCCATACCTAAAGAAACTATTTTGAGTCCAATGACGTGTGGAGGTTTTACAAAGTTAACGTAAAATATAAAAAGAGGCACTTAAAGTTAAAGGTTGACTTTCATGACTGAGGTAGAATCAGTACTAAATGCCAGATCGCTGTCAAATCTGAGCCTGGATCCGAAGTCCAAACCATTTGCTTTTAAATGGCCTAGCCTTAAACCACAATGTTTGTACCCCTGAGGGCTGCTTTATCCAGAATAGGGAAGGTTAAATTTTCGCAGACTTATGCTGAAAGCAATACGAAAATAAAAAAGAGAAGATCCTGATGGGATTCTATGCTGTTCCGCGCGCTTTCTTTATCAAATCAATTACAATAAATAATTATTATCAAGAGAATACAAGTCACTGCACTGATGGGCCACTTCTCCGTGGCTTACCTTCAGCTGTGTAAGTAGGGAAGCCCGTCTGTATAGAGAAACCACGCCCCTTTTGGGGGTTTTCTCGAGCCTCTCGACCAATCAGAACGCTGTATTTAGCCCCATTTCTCCCTCATTAGCATAATTTGAGGAGCCAGCTCCTCATCGGGTCGTTCCATGTTTGGGTGACGAGTAGGGGTGTTCCCCTAAGTGAGGGGCGTAGGCTACACGAGATACTGCTTTATATACTGCACATGGACATGCATATACATGTACATGTGTATTATGTAGTGTATTTGTAATCAGAAAACACAGAAAACGCATTCTGCATTAGTCGTCTGAATGAAGCGTGCTATTATTACTATTAATCCTATTACTATTTGTTTTTACGTATGTAGTTATGTATGTTTCTAAAGGAGGGTAATCAATTGAAGTAAGTTTACATAAAATGGAAATTTAGTTTTTGTCAGCTTCATTCATGTCTGATACCTCCTCAACATGGATATTTTCCATGTGCCTCTCTAGATTAAACTTCCGTCCGAAGCATTTGTCACATTGGTGACAAGCATAAGGCTTGCTTGTATAAATACCAGTCATGTTGACTCTGCGAAGGATGACCTTTAAATGACAGGAAAAAAGGGAAAGCGTTCCATATATCCTAAATATATACGGATTTACTGCTTTTGATTTGCATATTTCATTGCTTATTTTTCATTGTTTTATTGTTCAAATTGGTCTTTTTATCGCTCAAGCTGCTCTATATATTGCTCTTTTACTCGTTTTATTACTCTTTTAATTGTTCAAATTGTTCTTTTTATCGTTCAAATTGATTTTTTGTGTTGTAAATTGATCTTTTCATTGTTAAAATATATTCCTCTCATTGCTCAAGCGGATCTTTTATTTTTATTGATCAAAATAAACCTCATATTTTTTAGTTCGTCTTTTTATTGTATAAATTGGTCTTTTTAATGTATAAATTGCTTTTTTTGAGATTTTTATCGAGTTTAAAAATTTCATTGGTAATCTCATTTTACCGTGTAGGTTTGGTGTTTACTTCCCCCCTGCAATAAAAAGGCCAATTTGAACAATAAAAAGAGCAAATTATGCTAATGAGGCCAAATCCAGCGTTCTGATTGGTCGAGAGGCTCGAAATGATTACGTAATATCGACTATACTGACGGGTTGCACTACTTAAATGAATCCCCATTGACCCACATGCATTTGATAATATTTGAAATATTTTGGTAATCTTTTTTTCAAATAGTTTGTATACAAGATTAGTAAGTAAAAAATCATAATACCCAGCCGTAAGCTTGTAAAATGTTAAAAACGCAATGATGGGTTATATAGGAAACTGTCACACGCTTTTGAGGCACTATTTTCGTACCTTAGTAATCGTTGATTTCAAAGCTTTGCCTTTTGTCTGTCATGAATGTAAATTTATTTTAGTGGAATCAAATAAACCCCAACATTGCGTCTGACTCGCACCTGCAATCCCGTATTGTGTGCTGGGACTACGTGTACATTGTACCTAGTATATAGCATCAAAGCATCAATGATAGTTTCTCTAGTAGTTAGTGACCTCTATACATGACCAATATAATTAACATACGATTTGTGCTGGGGACCAGATACCAAAAACCGATACTGCGTCCATAGACTGGTGCAATCCGGTTCGTGAGTGACTTCTTTGTACCACTGATCGCAAGCCCTTCATTGGACAGTCATGCCTGGTGAGTGAGTAGGGAACGGGAACCAGTCTACCCACGAACCGCTATCACCCCACGTGATAGCGATTGATAGAAACGTCTTGGTGGACCAACCTTCTTAAGTCAAAAACCTGCTTTAATTGTTTTTTTTTCACACATTTCATGGGCTAGTAAAATTCTCTATGGGCTAGTAAAAATTACAATTTACTAGCCCCGCAGGCTACTGTCCGAAAAAATAAAGGGCAAGCCCTGCACATCATCAAATTATTTCAAGCGACTGCCCGTATGACTAATGGACGAAACGCGAGCTAGATTTATGGCCTCTACGATAACATGAAACATGTAATGAAAATTTCAAAAATTACAAATGTAACGAAACTCCATGCAGCTTGGGTAAACTTCCGGGAAGCCATTGGATTGACACTTTCAAATCAAGGAAGCCGACCACGTAGACGTCGCGTGGGGTTAGTTGGCATTATGTTGGCACTGCCTAAACGCCCGAACTCCTTTGCCGCCGTTATTACCGCCTTTCACTTTTTTATTTGGTATTTTTTAGACCATAAAGAGAAGTCAAGCCAAGCAGTCAGTGGTACGTTCCCCGACGCTTCGTACGACACGTGTTACTGCGTTCGATTGGCAGTCACGGGCGGTTTCTTGGAGAACAATTCCTCAATGCAATACGCAAACATGCTGGCATAAACGAACGATACTAATTAAAGTTGGCACCGGTGTTAATGGATGAGAAAAATTGTTGCAGGTTATGGCAAATTAGCTCAAGTCAAATAGATTTGTAAAGACGGACAAAGTAAGTGTTATATTTGACGGATACCGGCAACGGTTCTGATTGATTTCTCTAATTTAATCACTTCATAACCTCTAGACATGATTGGAATAAATGGAGTAATCTGGGGTCGTTTATTTCCACAGTTTGTGCATGTCCATCAATACCTGGGTACGCAAAGGACAAAGGTAAGTGCGTGATGTAAATTAACACACCATAGGTTTACCACCCCACAATAATTGAAGAAACCAGAGGGTTAAGATCGAGAGCGACTTTGGCAAAACAAACACCTAACTGGCGCATTGCACATGCACGTATACCACGTGTGTTCAGGGCACTCATTACCAAGGTGCGTGTGCGCACGATTTGCACGTAAAGGCTTAACAACAGGCTGTATTTGATTTCGCGCGCTCTGATCTCCCATATAATTAAATTTTTCAAACCCAAAGTAAATTAATTGTTTCATTTTTCAGTAGCACTGATTTTGTGCCCTGCCTCAAAAAGGAATGCAAAATGCGGTTTTAAATAACCCCCAAATTATTTCATTTCTCATATGAAAAAAAAATGAATTTGCCAAATTTGATCAATATCTATTAAAAATGAGTTTCCCTGGTTATAAAATTGGTTCATATAAACCAAAATATTTTCTTAATCGATTGCACTCCAAAACTGGGAATCCGCCTGTAAATGTTTGTGTACAATAAGTTTGAATTTGAACCAAATTTTCGCGCAAAATTGTGTGAATCCAGACACTTTGTAACGGAAAAATACGTAACATATCTATATTTAAAAAATTACACAATAAAATTTTAAAAATTTTGCAATTTCGGCTCTTTCGTTTCATTTCATTTTCATTTATTTATTTTGCAGGATTTAAACACAAAAGATTTACACAGTTACAAAATTGAAAAATAATATGTAGGCTCAAAAATATAGTTTTAATTAAGAATCTACACCATAAAAAACATACAAAATACAGTAACACACAAACCTAGAAACAGCAGCACAAGCAACAACACCACACCCAAAAGACACAAAACACATGTAACACCCCTGCAGGATACTAAAAAAAACAAATACTAAAAATATCAATCAAGCAACAGTTATAGCATCATACAAAAATACATGCATTACAACATTTCACAGTTTACCAGGTCTCCCAGAAGATAATGTATTGCAGATGAGAATTGAAAAAATAGACCAAACTGAGTTAACGATACCTGTAGGAATGGCAGTTTGCAACCAAATTCATCACAAATTGTTCAACCTCCATCACCAAAATGAGTTAAACTTGTATCAATAAACTCTAAACGGATAAGACTTGAACTTTTCACAGTGAAAGAACTATATGAGTAAAATGATTGCGGCCACACCATGGACCAATCAGAGTGGTCATGTCCCCATCCCCAGATTCACCGCTAGTGTTAAACCCCCAACCTGAAATACAGTATATCAAGCGATAAGAGCGAACATCTTTTTGGTACAACTTCACTCTAACGTGAATGTGTCGTTGTAGTTGATAGTTCTCATTTAAAGTTTTTTTCGCTGCGGCTAATACACGTGGAAGAAAAGGCCATGACAACTGCATTATGCACATGAAAATGCTGCTTTAGTAGTGTAAAATATCCTTCATAGTTATCCACTGAATTGTAGTAATATTAAATACAAGGACCTAGATGCATATTGATTATACCCTGTTCGTATAAATGAACGAGACTCTTGAATTCTGTGTCAAAATTGTGCACGTTGGTCATAGCAGAGATGTCATTGTGGTAGTGGTAAGGAACATCACTGCCGTTGATGGTTGTTGTGTACGGCCAGAAACCGAAGACATGGATTCGATCACAGACATCGACGAGGGACAAGATCAGGTACAAACCTGTGTAGTAGACAAAAAGTCAAAATCAGTGGCAAACATTTTGACACGTGGAGTGCTGGAATACTGGGGCGTTGTAGCAACTGGTATATTCCCATATTCGTCGTTGTAAGGGGAAAATCGTTGTTCCTGTCGGCGAAATTATCAACAAAACAATCCTCTTGAAGCTTTTACGCTCCAAGTGAAAACAGACTTCTTGATACAACTGCAACTGCGCAAAGAGTAGTGGGCGGAAAACACAGTTGAAACTATGACGTTGCAGGCCCGTAACCAGGACTTTTCCAGGGGGGTGCCAATCCTCAACAAGGCGGACCAAGCATAGATCTTGTGTTTTTGTATTTGAAAAAATAATCAGGATTCATGAGCTTGTACCAATTGTTTTAGGGGGGTTACAAGTAAACTACCGAAGAGGGGATCGACCGAGGCGAAAGATGTTCTACTATAGCTCAAAACCTTTTTTTTTTGCCTTAAAGAGGACCTTAGTCGGCTGGGGGGTGCGGACGGCCCCCCTGCACCCCCAGTTACGGGCCTGAGTAGGAAGGTTTCCTTCAAGCTCAACTTCATATAAATTTTTACTCAGCCCATTTTTGGACTAAGAACCATCCGGTTCTTTTTATACTCTCAAAAGAGATATTTTTCATTGCGCTACCGCAAGCCAAATACATAACAAGCCCACTTGTATCGTCCAAAATAGAATGGACCCGAAAACAAGTTCTTTTAATATGCAGCATTATGATGGACCGATTATATTCTGACTGTTTCAACATGAAAAGTGTGTTTTGCCTTACCGGATGAAGCCCAGGTGTGTTTGGTCTTCGACATCGTCCGCCACATAGTTGAGACTGAGAGGAAGTGTTCAGGATGCCCAAGAATTGGCCAAACAATCTTAGAATTGACAGCAAACTGTGCCGTTTGGGTTACAATAGAGATATCGGCAGCAACAGAAAAAGCTGGTAACCATAAGTAAGAGTCTTTAAACTGCTCGAGAACATTGCCGAATCGCGTCTGGTCATCCTGTGTTTTCAAGCTATTCAGCCTATGGAAAAAAAACATCTTTTGAACTTCAGAAATTTAGGGGTGCATTTTTAAGGAAAGTCGATTTTATTTGAGAGACATGGCAAAGCCATGTCTCACAGCGACCTTGATCGTATATCTCTCCAATCTTCCTAACTTTCTTAAGATACTTCCGAAAATCTTTTTTTGTTGCCTGAAAAGAACTCAACATGTTAACTAGCAGAAACATTTGGGTGTTTTTAAGCCATCCTCTGCTCAACAATAATGATGCATTAAACACACTAATTAACAAAGAAGTGCAGATCCAAAACTCACTTGTTCCTGACAAAGGAAGGGTTCAAAGTTGTGAAGTTTGTCTTTCTGCCCACGTCCTCCTCGAAACCCTTGGTCGGGGCTAAGTTAAATCTGTGAGGATATAATATCCCCTTCATAATAGCTTCAGAGATTAAATGAGTCAGCTTATTTCGTTTCATTTCTTCTGTCATTCATTTTCCGTAAAGCACTCTAGACTCGTAAGGAAAATCGAAAGCTTTCTAATGCCAGGAACTTTAAGACATTGACACAAAATCTGTCTCTTATTATTTGACTTTCGACTATTTTAGTTGTGCTGACTACGTTCCATATTTTGGCAACTTCAACTTGCCCTATGCCTTGTCTTACCTGAAAACAGCCTGTGGTTGGTCAATTTCCTTTCCACATCGAGAACCTCTCAAAATGCCGCTTGATCCGACCACACTGCAGCTTGCAAACTGTCCCGGTTTGTAAATTTCGTTCTAGAAAGATAGAAACTTCATAAGCAAAGCACAAGCCACTATAGACAAAATTATCAAATAAGCCCAAATAGCTAGCTAGTGCGGGACTTTAAAGTTTAACGTTGTACGTCGAGACGTCTGTTGTCCTTTGTTGCAAACTCACCCGTAAAATAGGCTTTCTATATTTTATAAGATCTTATACTTAATGCTAGCCTAATTTAATCATAGTACATGTACACTAGCATAACCCTATCACTACCAATTTGTTTAACCATGTTGATACTTATTTTTTTCCGTTAATAAATCACTATTCTTTGTTTTTTATACCAGGGTATTTTTCTATATACACTGGTATAAAAAGCAAAGAAGAGTGATTTATTTACGGAATAAATAAGTATCAAATAAGTAAGTTTTTAAAATAATTAACAAGCAATGATATTTTGGATATTTTCGGATCGCAACATGATTACTATAAAAACCATACAGGCATCTAAATACCCTTTAAATTATAAATACCAAAAAGGTTTATCACTGAAACTGAAAAGAAGATTTTCAAGGGTTCCTGGATATGCATACACATTTTGACATATATCCTACGTTGCTCACTTGTCCCAAACAAGCCTGGTAATAAATGGTCTCCAAAGAGTCTTAAATACCCCGATCAAGACGGAAATGCTTTAGAATTAACTCTCTACACTTCACTACTTTGATTTGTTGGTGTGGTTGAAGCCCCCTACATTATGGTGAGCTGTAATCACTTCACCATTTGTAGGGACAGGTTCAATGACAATGTACATATTTTGACGTAGAAAAAAAGTTTTTTTCCAATGGTTTATTTCCGGAACCAAAGAATGGCGTATGCCAATTGCCAGTGGCAAAATAGACAATGACCTTTACAAAAGTCAGTTCAAATAGGTGAACACTATGGGAACAGTCGTGAAAAACAAAGTACCAAGTAGCAACTACCTAAGCCCTCATGAACCTACCTTGGGTAAACACTCCCACAGAGCCGGTGGGAAAGCTTGAATGTTTCCATACATGTAGAAGCACATCCGGGAATCACGTGGAACGTTGGTCTTCGTCAACAGGAAATTCCTTATACTTCCTTCTTCTCCCAATACAGCACGAAGGCTATCTCTGTGTCGAGGTTGGCACAGAATGGAAAAGTTACCCTTGATATAATATTCAAATGTCATTTGGATGTTGCAGTAACTCCTGCAAACATAATGAGTGACATGATCATACACTAAAAATAAGTGTTCATTCTGGCCAAAAGTTTAGTTCCTTTGTTTAATCGATTACAGCAATGGTTTGTCACGCCTATTAAGGTATGCCATCTCTCTCGGAAAATCTGAATTTCGTCGAACAAAGAAATTTTCTGTTGACCTTGAGACTTACGTTTAAAATGTGTTACAATTTGATAACACTTCCTAAATAATTATTTTAAAAAAACACTTGCGAAATGTAAGTTTTGTAAACTTTGAAAGGACGCGTTTTCCGCGCATACAGTGGAAAACTTTGTGCTTCTATTCGGCTTTGACAGTTGCTTCAGTCACCAGCTGAACTGTAAGTTTACAGAAAGTCTGCTTTATGTCTCATAAACGAAACCAGTGGCGTATCCAGCTGGGGACAGAGGCAGCTTGTCCCCAGACGATTTTTTTACAAAGAATACTTCATGGGTAAGAGAGTAATCGGTATATTTATTTATCAAATGTTACCACTTTTACCCTAAAACAACACTATGAAAATAGCAAGGATGTCGGGACCGCGGGTAAGGTTTTTGATAACTTTTTTCTCCCCCAACATGAATCCTGTTGAAGGAACCCAAAGCCGCATTCACTTTTGAATCCCCCTTCACACACCTAAAGCTGGATACGCCGCTGAGCGAAATTAAACATCATGTAAAATCTCACCTGAAATCACATATAGTTTTATTGTGTGGTTTCCATTCTGTTTCAGTGAGCCTTCTCAGGTGCTTGAAGAACATCTCTGTGTTTTCTTTAAACAAATGACGGTATCTCTCAGAGAAGATCCTATTTTCAAATACAAAGAAATCGGAACCCTGTTATCCTCATATAAGGATGCAGGACTAAAGTCAATGTCTGAGACAAACCCAACATTTCGAACATTATTTCTAAGGCCGCAGAACTTTTTTTCTATCATTAAGAAAGTACCTATATAAAATAAAACAATTGAGCAAAAAACAAATGGATATATTTAGGCAACTTTTAAAGATTTATGTTCGGTGCTGTAATTTTGTATTTAGGTGATAGTATAAGGAAACTGTACAAAGATGGAAAAATAGCAGGCATCCCGCATGTAACCGTCCGCTTTGACCTAGACCATTACGAGGCAGCGTTCAGTATACAAATAATGAATGTTCATTAGCACAGCAATAAGAATGATTTCACGGGATGACACATGAAATGTTCCATTCCTCGAAGCAGTAATCTGTCACAGAAACTAGTTGTCAAGTCATAACGTTAAAAACCGTCATATGATGTCAATATGTGATGTTAAGTTATCAGCATGTGGAATATGCATTATGAGATGCTTTCACGTACACCATTATATCATGCTCTTAATCCATGGAGTGGTATAGTCGAGGCATTATGTCGCATGGTCAATGCATAAATTATGTGATGCAGTGAATCTATTATGCAGTATTATTAATGGACCCAGGACTTTTTTTCGGGGGATCAGGCTAATCAATTTTCCACTTTCCGATTGTTGTGGACAAGTGGACGCATAGGTAATGTTCAGATTATTTCGGATGCATTATACACGTAGTAGGATCTCAACTTCTTCTATTACGACAATAAAGATTTCATGTTGATTGTCGAGTAGGGGATTGACTCCCACCCCTACCCCGAATCCACGCCTACCACAGCATTGCGATTACCGGTACATTTTTCTGTTAAATCCTGCCTTCCACACCGGAAGCAATACCCATGCTGCCACTCCATTATTATCCCATTATTTATAACATAAATCATCACCAATTAGGCTGGGTCTTTGTTATTTCACGCCTTTTCGACCCACGTTTGCATCACAGGGAGGGGGCTACATTCTTTGCTGCAATAGCGTGTGGATCATGTACGTATAATGATGTCTACATGATCAATGCAAAACAATATAGTGACAAATTGCTGTTGGCATTCTTGTGTGGATATGTAAGTACACATAATACAAAGCAGCAATCAAAGGGATATAACAGCTTAACGTTTTAAATGCTGCTTTCAAACGTCCCTGTTTTTGAAGTAAGACCGCGCATCGATTGAAACTGAAAGCTTTTGACATTAATGTAAAAAATGATACGATTTCATTTTGTACTATTTATCAGTAAAAATCATGAACGCACTTCAGTAACTCCACTATTACTCTAATTTGATAAAAACACAGTATCGTTGCGGCTTTTGCGGAAGATGATTGAAATTGGCAAATTGTATGTGCAACAGTTGATCCGTAAATGTATTGAAAGAATTCGATCATAAAACTCAAAGAATTAATCAACCCTTCAAATAGGACAAAAAAAATATTTGGTAGCCACTGGCTCCTATAAAATCTAGGTGCTAGTAGCACTTTGACGTACATGTACGTACACACAAGTAGTTTTACCCTGTGTTATACATCGTCCATCCATTTGGTGAAATCATGACCCGGCCCGGCACACGTACACCACACAACTTGCATACAAGCGCCGATGGGGTCAATCCATGAAATCAGGGTTCTCGCCAAGGCTTCAGCCACGGACGTTACACGTCCGTAGTTTCAGCGTGTCGCAGGACATCCTGCTGCATGATATTTCCGACACTCTAAATCACAGCGACACCTTTAATTCCGACACTCTAAATCACAGCGACACCTTTAATTCCGGTGTGCCATACCGGAATTAAAGGTGTCATTTCAGGCCTGGCTTCATTTATGTTGCAGCGAAAAGCAGCAAAACATGGACCCGTGCCGTGGTTGCAAAATGGCCCTGGTGTCCGTGTACAGTGCATCAACAACGTATGTTTAGATCGGGAACCATCCAACGTGCGTGTGATCGCGACACATGTACTGTACATGTACATGTACTGAACATGTACAGTGTCGTGTATGTACATGTACATGTACAGCGTACACGGTCAACTTTAAATTCACGATGCGACTGGCGCTGCCATTTCCGTAACGAATTCGGAGTACATAATCATTGCTTTTTATTTTTAAGCATACTTGAAATTGTTCAAGTACATTTTGAATATAGTTTTCAAGCTATCTTAAGTCGCAAATGGCGACTGTACGGTGGAAATATGATCACATTAGCAAACTTGAAATCTGGTCGCATTTCCGACTGATTTAGGCTCTATTTAAAGCGTTGTTTGAAATAAAATTGTTTTCAGATGTGTCTACAGTCCCCCCCCATGGCTCGAGGAAACCCTCCTTTGATTTGTTCGAATTCAGTCACCGAGGTGGGGTATACATCTCCAGATACTACAGATGTTAATGGAGACAGGTATTCATACCGTGCATTCATGGTGATTTTTGCCAGAAATTTAGTTTTCTTACTTTTTCCCTGACACACTCAGGCAACACGTATGCCAACCCCAAACTTTTCAAAACGGGTTCCGTTGTGTTTGTGTTGCACGACCATTTTGGTTTATATCCATGGAAACCTATACCGACGCCCGTACAGGGATAGCTCCACAAATAGAGGTAATGGTTGCATCGCATGATTCTACTCGGGCTGTAAATAATACATTAACTACACCATTTCATGGAGAACATCAAATACTGGTGAGGTAACGACACATAAAGGGTTGATAATATCACATAATAAATTGTCCTCTCCAGATAAAGATTGACCTCTGCCAATAAACGGTTGGCATCATATAGGCGTACATAACAGAGTGGCGCCATCATCAAACTTCATTAGCTTCATCATCATAAACCAGTACATTTGGTGCTCCATATTTTCAAGAGTATACGTATATTTCACTACAATGCCGAGCACTTTCGCACATTAGATGTGTGGGGGGTGTAGAGATTGTAAAGCGCCGTTAATGAAAGGAAAATTCTATTTGTTACGGATTGAAAATCGAGTTTTTTCCCTTTTGTGGCGTCTTAATTATGCAAGTTATGCAAATAAGCTTAATAACCGCAAATTACCTGCACCTACATCTAAAGTTTCAAATGTCAACTTGGACTTGGAATAGCCGAGGTGATTTTCAGAAGAACCAATTCAAAATTCAGGGGATTTTCGCGGCAAAAGGAGTAAAAGGAACAATCCGTATATGATGAATGATAAATGTTTGACAGGTTTGAAGCTTAAAATCATGCTTCGTGAAAACTGAACTAAACAAGTAAACCATAAACCAAGGGGTTAAGATATCGAAAAAGCCTTGTAATAAATGTGCACATTATTCCAGTTGCACAAAATCATTTTTATAAAGAATCACCTAGTATGAGCATTTCGTCGGCCTTCTCTTCGAGTTTGTGATTTGTATTCCCCACAGAACAAAAGGCACAAAAATCTTGCAACACAAAGTATATTTAGTCACTGAACTGTTTTCATCCAACCAATCTTTTCGAGGTTATTTGTAAAGAGAATGATGCATGCAGTTTATCACGTCCCTTGCAACACTGAAAAAGTGGTTTTGGTTTCAAGTCCAATTGAATTTATCTTCTCTGGTACTTCCGCAAAAAATCTACAATGTGTCAAAACAGATATAAATTAGATGTAAAGCGTTGTTGCAAGCTTACATTACAAGTCAAATTTCCTGAGGGTGCTACTCAGTGGCGACCACCTGGTGTTAATCTGCTCTTGAAATTGTTTGTTTTTATCCTGTTATTTATCTTTGTTTATGTGTTGATGTCGTCTTTAGCCTCATGATAACTTCTAGTTCCAGATGTGTGTGGCAGTTAGCATTGTTAATGTTTCCGGTATGCAGACTGTACCTTTACATTTGGCAGCCCAGTGGTGACATTTGATGCAAACTATGAGATAGAGAGACCCCCCCCCGCCTTTGTGTTGATCATTGTTATACTGGTATCCCTGGAATTCTTTTCAGACATCTAGGGGGATGTGTTAAGTAACAATAGGCTGGAGTGTGTATAGGGATGGGACTTGTTGGGGGGGGGGCATATCCCATTTCATGCCCGGTGTCAGTGGAGTCAGATTCTACTGGGATACGACTATCACCGATTACGAGCGGGACTTTACTTTTGTCTCTGAAGTCACAGGTCAGGTATCACAACAGTGTCTTTATACCTTGGGAATGTGAATTTTGGAAACAACGTAAACGAGGTAGGAAAGCTGGCATTCGTTCTCGACTAAGACAAGGAAATTTACCTCACCTCTACCCTCAATGATAACAGAAACTGCCCAGTCGTTGAGAAATAAACTTGTCGAACTTAAAGCATGTTCGAGATTTCTTAACAAATATCGTGAAGAAAACCTGATGTGTTTTTTGAAACATGGTCTGATACTATCCAGGACACCAGTATCGACGGGTTTCCATGCCAGCGCTCTGAAAGGACACGGGAATCAGAGAAATCATCTGGTGGTGGTGCTGTACATTAACAACCGTTTGTGTTCGAACGTGTCGGTGAAGTATCGAATATGTATACCAGACAGTGAGTTACTAATAGTCGGGGTTACAGCCTCTCTACCTCCCACGCGAGTTCAATTAACTCTTCCTCACCGTAGTGTACATCCACCCTAAGCCCGATGTCCATGCTAAGATCCATGAAACTGTTCAGCAACTTGAAACCAAATCACACGATGCTTTCAAACTTATTGTACAGTAGGTGACTTCAATTCATACACAAGTACTCCCACGTTACCGTTAATACATCAATGTAAATATACAAATGCTATGGAAATATTCCACATGCTTATGAGGTACGCAGGAAAGCTGGCTTGGGCTTGTCTATGACATGATCCAGCTGATCCCTGAATAAAGGCAAATTAAGAAAAGCCTATTCTGGAAAAAGTGCGAAGCTGGAAAAGGAGTACACGGAAACCCTACAGCGCTGCTTTGATTGTACTGTGTAGGATGTTTTTACATCATCTGATAGCCTGAGTGATGCAATTAACTGACGCCATCACTGACTATATTGGTTTTTGCAAAAGCACCATTATACCAGAAAGACTGGTTAAGGTTTACCCTTTTGTAAGCCTTGGATTACACAAGATATACAAAATCTGTTGAAATAGAAACAACAAGCTTTTCGTGAAAATCGGGTAGATGAGAAGCGGAGACTCCAGAAGGAAATAAAGGGACATATTCAATGTAACAAGCAGGTGTACAGTGAGAACATCAAAAGTAACTTCAAGTGTGGCAGTCCCAAGAAGACTTGAAAAGGAATTTGTACAGTCACAGGAAGCGGGAAAAACGATCAGTGGGTGTTCTTGCTGAAATGAATCCGACAATTTTTGCAAATGATCGCAATTCTTTCTTTGCTCACTTTGAAGTCAACTTCAGGGATGAATTGAGTACATTAAAAGGTACTCTCTATAAAACGGAGAGAATATTCAATCATATAATGTTTTATAATTGGATGTTCATAATGTTACAAAGTTGTTAAAAAGCTCTGAGTATTAAAGATGAAGTAGTTGAAATTGTCACGGAATATAGGTACCTTGGATCCCATATTGATGATTAACTGGAATGATACACAGGAATACCAACACCGACAAAATGTGTGAGAAGGCTAACCAACGATTGTATGTCCTTGGTAAACGGAGATTATTTAGTGTCGACCGGGACACTGTGGTTTTTGTTCTATCAGAGTGTAATTCAGTCAGTGATCATATTCTGTTGCATTATTTGGTTCAACAGACTGACTAGCCAAAGCATGAGAAAACGAATTACTAAAACAGGAAGTATTAAAGGTCACTGGAACCAATGTCGAAGACCTTATTGTAATTTATGAAAGAGCTCTGTTAACCATACTGGAAACTATTTACATCGACAGTACTCATCCTCTGCACCCGCATGTGATTTTTCAGTAGGTCTGGCAGGATTGTCCTCTCTTTCATAAAACGAACTGTCTCGAGTTCTCATTTCTTCCCAGTGCAATTCATCTTTTTAATAAACAGTTTGTAAGATAACGTTTACCCTTGCTGGCTAATGATTTGATAGGGATTGGCTGCTTTTATATACACGATAATGTTTTGTAGCGTTTATTTACTGATGGTGGTCTTTCGATACTATGGGTCCGATGTTTTTTACTTTCAATTTCCTTACTGTAAAATACGTGGTTTTTATGTCATCTAAGTGTTTAATCGATCCTATACCCGTTTGAACTGCATATCTTATGTAACTGTCCTTCCCGGATTTTCATGTACATTCATTCCTGAATAAAAAATTCTTAAAATTTAGTAGGTATTTAATATTATTGTTTTTACAATTTTATTGATTTTCTTCCTCAGGACAAGAATTTCATATCTGTTTTGAACGAATTAATATATAACTGAACTGAACTAACCGAGATGAAACTTTGGAAGTGCATTTAAACAAAAACAGGGATCAGATTTATAAATAAACAATTCTAAACAACTTTTAGTCCTACACAAAAGATGATTTGGAGGAGAACTCGAGGGAGGAGGAGGCGGGAACAGGATTGAACACGAAGGGGGAAATTTAATCGAATTTGTCTGGTGAAGGATGCTATTTTAGTTTAAATTAAAATGGGTACGTCAGTATTATTTTTAAGCCCAAGGAAAACCCATCGACAAATAAAATGAGTATTAGTTCCTCATTTTAACTCTTGAGCCTCGTATCCACTGGCGGATGGGGGCGCTAAGGGTGGTCACCCCCCCCCCAAAAAAAGGAAGGCGCCAAAGGCTTTGTTTGAAAGTCGATTTACTCGCTCCATTTCATGTACCTTTTACAAAAGGCATGTGAAAAGCCACTCGTCAGAAAGCCCATAATTTCTCCCAAACATCCCATCAATATTGACATGGTTCTAGATCCGCCTTTGTATAAATGGACGGGTCTAGAACCACATTTTATTGGAGGGGGCCACAACTTTGGAATTTCTTCATTTGACTGCTCATGACCTTTTTGGAGTTGGGACTAAATATTGGGGCTTTTAACAACCTCTGGGAGGGGACGAAATAAAAAAAATCCGCAATATATTACTGTTCTCTCATTATTTTCAAAAAACGAATTGGCCCTTTTGAAGGAAGCATGGTCCCTGTTACCCTCTGGATCCAGTAATTCCTGCAAACAAGGAATAATGTGGAATCAAACATTCAGATAGATCACAGAAAAAATGTCATTTTTCAAAAAGATTATACCACCGGATCAACAGAGCTAGGCACGGCGAACCTTTGAATATTAGGACGTCCAGCAGCAAAAGCGTATTCTGGACCACAAACGGACTGACCAGCCGGTTAGAAGTAATGCCATATCCAAACACATAAGAATGTGCTTTGTCACCGCTGAATTTCATTATATATAGTGACCAGGTCTCCACAGAACTAGATTCTCACATGGAAATATTGAATGAGGTTGCTCTTTATACTGCGTGACCAGGGCATTGCTAAACGAAGATGCAACGACTCTACTGGCGTTGTGACCAACTGGAACAAAGTTTGTGAAGCCCATGACATATACAGATCAGCTCTGAAATAAGAGTCTACGTCCGCAAACTGAACACCTTGGGGACCTTTGTACATCAAAATCAAAGATTCATCTCTCAAGCAAATAAAAGAGTTTATACTGCAGCATCAGCTTTACAGAAGATGCCTCACTTGACAGAGATAGATAGCATCATACAAAAGGCCAAAAGTATCAGTTTCCAGTTTGCGCCGCCTCCTCGCTTCTGAAACCCTCTAACATTCTCATGCAAAGCAAGTTACTCCTGCCGTGATCAACACGATCTTCCCACGGAATCTGAAATTCCGCCGTCAGGAAAGGATTGCGGCGAAAGGCCATTTCAAATGATTATAAAATATCATCTGGGCAAAGAAAAATATAGGAGCTCCCTTACCTTAATGCTATTACCTGGGGAGTCTTATTAGTCCGGTCCTCGCTGTCGTGGTCAACGTCCAGCGCCGACTTGCATCTGGTGTCCAGCACTAAATTTTTCAGGATGCTAATGGTGAGAAATAGCACAACTACCGCTAGTATTGCGACACCTGGGAAAAAACGTCTGAGCAATGCTCGTCTACAGTGTGATTGCCAACAGTAACTGATGCATCTACTGCGGCCGAAATACCTTCCGCAGGCTTCGCAAGCCATGATCACGATGGTAACCTTTACATCGCTCAGGAATTTAGATGCTCACTTATGCCATGCTTCAGCGTGATGCTCGCCGTACATGAATGACGTGAGTAGACACCGACCCGACGATGCTGTGAAATTGTAGTCTCGAAATTTAGATTAATGGTCATGCATCAGCCATATAAAGGCAGACCATCTCCACCCGATTCCGATTCCATTGCACATGTTTTCTTTAATTTGTCATGGATTGATGCCCGGTTTCATTTATCTCCATGTCAGCTAGTATCCTAAACCCTCTTCGTCGAATGTGTTTGCTAACTTCTGATGAAGAAAATCAGTTATATCCAAATCTAGCAATCCCCCTAGTCGTTTGTGTTTACACATGTTTACGCGGAATGGGCTTTGTTACCCAGCGGCGCATACCATTTACAAGAGGGGGTTCGCTCTGCATTGAAATATTTACAGGATATAGGTTTTTATAAGCGAAAATTATAATTAGAAATGCAGAAGAACTTGTACACTGTAGGCTAATTTCCACGAAATACCATCCAATGAGAGCAAGGCTGTATGCCAATATGTGAATTTGCAATGAGTGATTTCAAATTCGCTTAAGCCCAGTATATATTCAGGAAGTACATGTATTTTTGTGAAAAAAGAAACTATAGTTTCTTTTTTCACAAAAATACATGTACTTCCTGAATATTGTTAATGGATGTGTCAATTTACTGATTTAATTAGAGGCACATTTGAATATCGCAATTTGGCAGGGGAGATGGATAGAAGGTCGTGTCATTCAGAGTGAAACTAGAACGATTTATGAATGTGTTTGCTTTACTTCGTTGGGTAATTCATCTCTAATAAGTGCATTAAAGAGATACGCTTAAACTTAAAAAACCTCTGTTCTTGTTTGCACGTGGGCCCTTGCTATAATGGGAGGGAGTTTGCTGGGGCAAAGTCAGCCGTGTATTTTAATATGTCTTATAAAATTTTCAAAGGTGCCTTGGGCGGAGCAAAAGAGTATTATGTTTAAGAGTTAGCGACCAAACACTGTGTTTGCACGAGTTCAAGACGAGCCACTGTGTTCCCATGCTTCATCAACTCAACCTTCCTATACTGCATCGACCCCTCATTCACCCGGGGGAATTTCCACACACACATTGACCTATGACCCGCAGGGGACTTTCCACAAACAACTCGTGACTCCCCCAACTGCTGCTCGCTGTACAAGTCTCGAGTGCCACCAAACAACTCGTGATTTGAGTCCAATTTTCAGGAAATTAATTTTGCAACCACCTTAAGTATTTGTGTATTATAAATACATGTCAAACCAAAACCTCTGTGATGAACTGGGCAAGATGCACGCAGTATTAGAGTTGGAGGAACACCGATTTAATCTTCTTCATGTGAGGCTCTGGAAACCAAGTGCAAGACTAACAGAAAATGCACACGTAGCAATTGTGATACACCGAAAGAAAGTAATAGAATATATTTACGACAATAGTGTCCACAGTCCTAGAAGAGTCGGGTTAAAAGGTGAAGTTCAAGAGGTTAAGGAACAGAGTTACTTTCCATAACTTGGAATGAGGTCCTTCGGTAGTCGGGATATTACACTCCTCCCTAAAGTGAAACGTCAAAGTGACGTGTTAACTTAAGGTACATGTTTTTCGATATGCGTCAAGAATGAATGGTAAAGTGAATCCAAAGTTTTGTTTCTTTAATTAACTAACCACTACTGTATTTTTTCAACTAATGCTACTTATATACAAGCGTGATGACAGTCAAGTGCAGGGGTGGACTACCCTGACTTGGAACAGTCTGCACAGAGGATTACTCTACCTCCGCTGTGTGCAGCTGTACCAACCTAGGTTAGCTTATTTGTAGCCATAACGATCAGGCGGGTTTCTGATACGCAAGGGGTATCATTTTTTCTGTCAGGCCTTGGATCTGATTGTGACTCAGGCTCGGTTGAGACTTGTGGTGCTGGAGGATTATTGGGAGTGATGGGTTGTCGGGCGTTCGAGGATTGACTTCGGTCTCAGGTTGTCGTTCGCGGATTGGCACGGTAGTACCTGTCCCAAAGTCAATGTCACTGTCCAAATTTGGAGAGGCGCGAGCTAGTTTGACCGGACGTTCTTGATCGCGGATGTGGTCTATGTTACGACTGATTCACATCCGTTATGGTCGAGTC